ACCCTATAGGTTTAAACTTAGATTCTCCAATGTTCAAACGAGCACTGAACTGGAAGTTGGATATGTCAGTCTTTCACCAAGTACCGAGCCCTGTCTGTACTTTAATTTCTTCCCAGTAGAAAATAAAACGAAAAACAGCCAATGTGCTGATATCGTACTTACCACAAGCTGCTATAGCATAAAAACGGTGAGATGAGATTACAGACCAGAGCAACAGGCTACCTGTGAATGCACCTATGGCCCAGGGGTGCTCAATCCCAGGGAGTTTGGGAAAGATGCCCCACCTCTGCTCCTAGAGACTCGGATTTCACTGGTCAGGATTGGGACCCAGGTGTCAATTGTCTTTAAAGCTTCCCAGGTGATTCAAATGTGCAAGTTTAAGAACTGCTATCCTAGCCTGGGGGCCCTGGTGGTGCAGTGGTTAAGAGCATGGCTGCTAAAATGTCGGCAGTTCGAACCCACCAGCCACTCCTTGGAAAACCTATGGGGCAGTTCTACTCTGACCTATAGGGTTGCTATGAGTTGGAATTGACTCGACAGCAGTGGGTTTGGTTTGGGTTTATCCTAGCTTGTGGAGTCCCTGGGTGATGCAAATGGTTAACATGCTTGCTGATAACCACCCAGAGGCACCTCAGAAGAAAGGTCTGGCAATCTACTTCAAAAAAAAACGCCATCAAGCAGTTCTACTTTGGCACATATGGGATGGCCATGAGTCGGAGTCATGGTTGGACATTACAGAAGGCCAAATAATGAAGTGAAAGGAGAAATGACCAGCTCCTTATAGGAAGGTCCTTGTAAGACCAGCTCCTTGAAAGTTTTGAGTTTTAAGCAGGGGGTGATCACATCTGCCTTCCAGAAAGACCATCTGGCTACTGGGTACAGAATGAATCAGAGGGAGGCAATGGGGGGCGGGGGCAGTGGCAATTCAAAGATGGCTGGAGGAATCAAGGCAAGATATAACATGGAACAGATGTGAGGTAGTCTCAGAGGAAGAGCTTGGTGGCTGGGGACGTGTGACAAGGGGTGGGGAGTTTGGGGTGCAATCTGGGGCATCTGGCTTGAGCACTCGGGGATTCTGGCAGTGGTGACACCAGGCCCTGAGCAAGGGCGGGCAGGCGGGCAGGCAGGCAAGGAGTGTGTGCTACGTGGTGGGATCGAGGCCTTTGGAGGAAAAGTTACTTCTTGCTTCACCTAAAGACCATAACCTGGGCTAGTTGAGCCTGGCAGAAATCCTGCAAATTCTGTGCTTTTCTGTGTTTCTATGGTGCATGGCATTCTACCAATAATTGGAATGTCTGATTCATTTGAAATCATCTTGAGATATTTATATGAGATCGGTCAAAGAGAGTTTTAATTCAAGTAAGAGGTCATGGCCTAGGAGAGGGTTGGGGTAGAAGCTGGGCAGGGTGGCGTGCACAGAGTTTGCCTCCTTTCCTTCTCAGCCCAGGAATGTATCACAGCCCCTTTGCTTTCACCACCGGATCTGAAGGCATCTCAGGAGAGGGCCAGAACCAAATGCCTAAAAACACCTTGAAAATGAGAAGCCGGATACAGGTGCTGGGTGCCCTCAACTACAGACGGTGTGACAAAGTCAAATCAAGGTTACTGTGTTTTGGAAGGCGCACGTGTAAGCAGAGTTGTAAGCAGCTCCATTTATTTGAGTAAATAGCTTGTAAATAAATCATTGGTAAACATTAAAAAATTAAATACATTTTCAAAAGCTTGCCAGTATACGTAAAATTCACAAACATAGTTCTTTTAAAAAATAAAATATGTTCAGAGCACCCTTGATATAAAATGCCTGACCCCCGTCCTCTCTGACAGGGCCACCTAGAGACATTCCCCACTAGGCGGGGTTTCTGTGGGGAGGCATGGGACCTCCTGGAGGGAAAAAGCAGTTTCTACTCTTATCTTTCACCCCACCCATATCCCATCTGAATTTTGATCCTTCTCCAAGGAGCTGGTACGTAACTGAGAGGGGCAGGGCCGGTGCCCCAGACCCAACTCCAGGCAAGGGGATAGAGATGTGCAACTAGGGCCAGGAGCGTGGTGGAGCCTCCAGGGTCCTCACCACATCCCATTGAGAGGAGTCAGAACGGCAATCTCAGGCATCTAAACCACCAAACGCTCCAGTCATCAATCGTCTGAGAGAAAGTGAGGCTTTCTTGATTGGAGGGTGAGGGATGGGGTGGGTTGTGCCCTATACCCACCTCCGCACCTGCTCCAACACTCAGTTCACCCCCTTCTGGCAGGGGCGGATTACCCAACAAGCAAGGTAAGCATGGGATTACTTGTTCATATCTACTAATCTGTAGTGAACAATTTCATCAGGATGTGGTGAAACCCATGTGAAACTGTTCACTACAGATGAGCAAGTAAGCACAAGTAAGCCATCATTCGTCCCTGCCAGGGACTGTAAATTTGAAAAGAGGTTTTGAGTCTGTAGGAAGGTGCTGTGGGATTGGGAGAGAGAATCTTTGATATAGTTCAAAAATGTGAAAATTGATCTAGTAAGCAAGGTAAGCATCGTGTTTACCTTGCCTATTGGCTAAATCCGCCCTGCCCTCTGGTCTGATGCTTCCAAGGTACAGAAGCAACCAGAATCCTCTAAGGAGGAAGATTCTTAATCTGCTACCTTCCTTTTGACCTGCTTGTATGGAGAGAGAATACACAGTATTTGGTGGAAAGCAGAGAATTAGATACTATCCAGCGCTTCCTTTTTCCACTGCAAAACGCTGCTCAGAAAGCATTGGCGCTTCTCTAGAAATCTGATGAGTTCTCCAAGTGAAGGGTCCACACACATTTTAAATACCACAAAGGAGGCAATAAGTACATGACCTGGCAGAGCATTCCAACCAATGAAATAATATGAAGTCCATGAATTCAGCCCTTGACCAACTCAACCTTTTTGTAGTGTAGCTCAGCAAAGAACGGATACACTGAATTTTTTCACTTTAGTGCATCAAGTGACTTTGGAAGGTCAGCAGCACTCACACGAAGGATGCCTAGTGGCCTCTTGAAAATACACATGCTGTGACCTCCAATGAAAGGACAACCACAAGTTTATTCCATCAACGTGAAAAAAAAAACAAAAACACCTCACATCTACAGTTTCACTTAGGTGTGTGTAAATATATACAAGAAATTTGACATCTGAGTCAAAGGTACAACTTAAGAAAAAAGTATTACCAAACAAGCTGTAAGAAAACCATCTTCCCTGTACAGTAAGGTCCTAAACGTCCGACTCTTCGCAGAAAATGCTGCCTGGTACAGCCCATTCTCATGTTCCCCTGCTTTAATAATCCTTGGTTGAGCTGCAGCCAGAGTTGTGGTATCTTCGCTATTAAAATATTACACTAACAAAAGTTTTTAAAAACAGAAAAGGAACGCTCTTGGATAAATGTCTAATACAATCCTTCCCCCTACCTGCAAAAAAAAAAAAAAAAACAGTTGTTCATAAGGACGTCTACTCTTTAATAAATGTCTTCTTGTAGTCCCAATCCCAGGACCCTTTGTTCATCTCCAGGAGAGTTGCACCCTGGGCCAGAATCATACAGTCTTCTTCTGTGGAGGGCTCAGCTTCCTCATGCCTCTTATCCGAGACAGCAGCTCTTTGATAAATTCCTAAAAGAGATCAGAGGACATTAAACATGAGGGGTCACTCTATTAAAACGTGTGTTTAAAATTGGTTAAAGTAATAGCCACCAACTGCAGTTAACCTTAGTTGATGAACGTGGTTGAATGTGCTAACCCAACAGGAACAATGCGGGAGATTCCTAAACAAGTAAAGAGTGCTCCAGCTTCACGTCCCAAAGGCTTTTTACTGCTGTACTCTCTCTAGGGAGAAAACTAGGATCCCTTCACTCATTTCTCTTACCTCTCTGGCCCCTGAAGGCATATGTGGTTTAGATCAGTGTCTCTTAGCCTGTAATAAGTGCATTCAATCACCTGGGGATCTTATTAGACTGTAGAGTCTGATTCCATTGATCTAGGGTGGGGTCTGAGATTCTGCATTTCCAACAAAATCCCAGGTGATGCCAGTGTTGATCCCTGGACTACACCTGGGATCAGCACTGCACCAGGTGTGGTCCACGGGCCAACACTGGCATCACCTGGGAGTTTGTTGAAAATGCAGAATCTCAGACCCCAACCCAGATGAACGGAACCAGAATGTACAGTGTGGTACAGAGATCAACACTGGCATAGCAAGGCTAGACCGAATCACCGAGGGGGATCGATTAAAACACAGATTGCTGGGCCCCACCCCCAGAGTGTCTGACTCAGTAGGTCTGAGAATCTTTGTTTCTAACAAGCTCTCAGGTGATGGTAAGGCTGGTGGTTCCAGAATCACAGAGAATCTCTGATCTAACTTGCAATAAAAGTCTTTTGACTTTGACTGAAAACCATAGTCTTTTTACAAAAAAAAAAAAACAACTTTTTGTTTTTACATTAAACCCAGTACATACGAACACGCCTGAAATAAAAATTTAAAAAACAAATACTACATGCAATGCACTCTGATATTTTCTAGGCTGTTCTAATTCCATTAAAAAACAATGCCGGGGGAGACCCACTAAAAGGATTTCATTACCTATTAAAGGATCAAGACCCAGTGACAGGAAACCAATCTAGAATGGCGCCCACTTTATACCACCAGGAATCTTCCATTGTTGTCTCGTGTTGCAAGATGACTGGGTATCAAACAAGTCACATCTCTTGGGTAATAATCAACTTGTCTTCCTATCTGATATCTGTCAAAGATAATGCTGACAGCCAGTCACACTCTCTGATCAGCAAGTGGCTGCCAGTGAATGACAAGCCAGACATGAGCACATCATGGATCATCCAAGAGTAAAACAACCAAGAAACCGTAGTCTCCATTAAATTGGCTACCATGCAGTGGATTCTGACTCATGGCGACCCCAGGTGTGTCAGAGTAGAAGTGTGCTCCATGGAGTTTTCAATGGCTGATTTTTTGGAAGGAGATCCCCACACCTTTCTTCCAAGGTGCCTCTGTATGGACTAGAACCTCCAACCTTTCGGTTAGTAACCAAGTGCATTAACCATTTGTACCACCCAGGGGCTCCTACTCTCCATTACCACCCCTTGGAAAAACTGAAAACCGCTCTCAGACAACCCCCTCCACCAATGACAACCCTCAGTCATGAGCTCTCACACTAAATGGTCCCTGTGGTACTCTCCAGCTCTAAAATACAATACACTTAGATATTTAATGTTTCATTAGTTGCCATGATTTCTTTTTCTTTTTAATAATCTTTTTGCTGTTATAAAAGTAATACATGCTTTTTCTAGAAAAACTTGGAAAATACAAATCAGTAACAATGTACTCTCCCAAATTAACCACTATTAACACATTATCTTCTATGGACATTGTTTTACCTAATTAAGATCATACTGTATAAATATATCCTTTTATCACTGAGCAGTACGTCAGAAGCTTTTTCCCACAACATTGAACATTCTTCCTAAAAATCAATTCTAATGGTTATATAATCCTTTATCATATGGATGTTCTACAATTTGCTTAATTCCCCCATCACAATGTATTTGAGCAGCTCCTGGCTTTTCTAAATTACAAACAATGCCACAGCTAACATTTTTGGGCATAAATTTTCTCCTGTATTTGGGATTATTCCCTTTGGACACTGTTACGGACTGAATTGTGTCCCCCAAAAATATGTGTTGTAAATTCTAAGCTCTACGCCTGTGGTTATAATCCCATTTGGGAATGGGTTGTTTTTGTTATGTTAATTAGGCAGGATAGTGTACGGTGTATCTTGAGTTAATATCTTTTGAGATATAAAAGAGATTAAACAAGTGAAAGAAGCAGAGATGGGGGAAGAGAGATGCCAAGCCACATGAAGATCGCCCAGAAGGAGAAGCTCAGAGAGACAAGGACCTTCCTTCAGAGCTGAGAGAAAGCCTTCCCCTAGAGTCAGCACCCTGAATTTAGACTTTTAGCCTCCTAAACTGTGAGAAAATAAATTGCTGTTTGTTGAAGCCACCCACTTGTGGTATTTGTTATCGCAGCACTAGATAACTAAGACAGATACCTAGCCCAGAAGTGTGGGGCAAAGAACATAAACATTTTAATCACTACTATTTCTGAACCTGGACAGAAGGGGATACATGTTAAGTAAAATGAGGCCCTATTTTAATTTTCTGAACACAGTCTATTTTATCCAATTTAAAGAATTTTCTAGGATGAAATAATGCCACATTTTCCCATTTATATTGTTTTCATTTTGAAAAGCAAAATGTGTTTCCTATTACTCCTTTTACTATGTGGTTTAAACAATACATAGTATTCTGCACATACAGTTTTAATTTCATTGTTTCTGAAATCTGTTTCTCAAATGGCTGCTACAAAGAGTTTCAGCATTTGAATATAGATTTCCTTTCTTCTTTTTAAGGCCAAGGTCAGAATCACAAACTCTGTAATTTATCCTGTTGATAACTCTGGTAACTTTTTTAATAAAGTATTTTTCACAAAGATCATTTTAAAAGTAAAGACTAAAATCACATAAGGAATAATGTTCCCTAAACCACAGACCTTTCTTCAAGACAAATAATTTGGTAATTTAAACTAAATTCAAAGTTCGCCAGAAAATTGATCATGATATGCGTAAGTCTCAGTAACTAAAAAGTTTAAATGAATAACTTATTATCTTAAATGATATAACATTATTGCCTTATGTGTATGATATATTAATATTAATGAAAACCACTAATTTCAGATTTTATATTAACATACTTACTTTTCATGTCTATATTTTATTTATTACACTCTACATATTTTAAACCTCATTATCCATGTAGTTCCCATTCCTTTGGGTAGACCCATTTTCCATCTGGTTTTGAATAATTTCATTATGATGCACCTTTTGGTAGTTTATTTTTCTTGTGCTTGGGGCTTGTTCAGCTTCCTAGATATGTAAGCTTATAGTTTTCAACAAATTTGGAAAAGTTTTGGTCATTTTTTTTTTCCTACCCCTCTTTTCTTTTTTTTTAGGATTCCAATTGCTCACATATTAGGCCACTTGAAGCTGTCCTGTAACTCTCTGAAAAATCTGTTCATTCTTCTTTTTAGTATTTTTTTTTCCTCTGTGTATCTCATTGTGAATTGTTTTTAAGGCTACGTCTTCACGCTCTCTAATCTTTTCTTCTGCAATGTCTTATCTGCTGTTAATCCCATTCAGTGTATTTTTCATCCAGACATTGTAGCTTTCATATCTAGAAGTTTAATTCTGATCTTTTTTTTTTTTTGCACTTTCTGTGTCTTTACTTAACACATTCAGTCTTTCCTCTAGCTTTGAATATATGGAATATAGTTGTAATAACTTTTAATGTCCCTTGTATGCTTATTCTAATATCTGTATCAATTCTGAACTGGTTTCAGTTGGCTGATTTAGCTCCTCATTATAGGTTATATTTTTCTGCTCCTTCGCATAATTGGTAATTTTTTACTGGATGCCAGACATTGTGAATTTATCTTGTTGCATGGGGCATATTTTTGTACCCTCACAAGTATTCTTGATCTTTTATGCAACACAATTAAGTTATCTGAAAACAGTTTAATCCTTTCAAGTTTTGCTTTTAAGATTTGCTATGTGTGACCATAAGAGCATTTAGTGTAGGGCTAATTATTCCCCAATACTAACCCTTCTGAGTACCCGACCCAGTATCTGTGAATGATGAGGTTTTCCAGTCTGGCTAGTGAGAACAAACACTTCCCGGCCCTGTGTGAATGTTGAGCACTGTTACTTCTAATCTTTTCAGGTTGTTTTTCCCATGCTCTGATTAATTCTCTGGAATACACAACGGGGTCCCTCTGCAGAGAATTTCCCATCGATGTCCAGATAGCCAGCTTCAATTTAAAAGTTGGAAGGAGTTACGACTCTAGGCCTGCATTCTCCCATGGCAACTGTCAGCTGCACAGTGGCTATTCTCTCCAGATGAGACATGCATATCACAGTCCCCATCTCTCCCTATGCTTGGCACCTGTCCACTTTATTCATTTATGTTACCTGCCTGGCCCCTATGGATGCCTATAAACCCCTGAGTTTGCAACAACTGATATGTAGGGTCCAGACGGTGCACAAAGAAGCTTGTTGAGGAGAGAGAGAGACAGAGACAAAGAGTGAGCTCTCAGAATGAGCAAAGACTCAGAAGCATAAAGTTCTAAGGCATGGGCAGGAAACTGCAAGTTGTTCTAAACTGTTGTTGTTAGCTGCCATTGAGTTGGCCCTGGCTTGTGGCAACCCCATGCACAAGGAAACAAAATGCTGCCAGGTCCTGCGCCATTCCCGTAACTGGCTGTGGATTGGACTGCTGTGATCCATAGAGTTTTCATTAGCTGATTTTCGGAAATAGATCACCAGGCCTTTGTTCCTAGTCTGTGTCAGTCTGGAAATTCCACAGAAACCTGTGGACCATAGCAACATGCAAGTCTCCATTGACAGATGGGTGGTGGCTGTCCTTGAGGTACATTCGCTGGAAATTGAACTTGGGTCTCCCGCATGTAAGGTGAAATTGCCCTCATCTTTTAAACTATTGTTGTTGTTTTGTGTGCTGAAGGGTCAATTCCAACTCATAGTGACCTT